AAGCATCAAGGAAACTCATTAGCCCATGCCTGGCTGTTGCATCAATCATTTGATCAATGTTTGGCAATGTGAACGAGTCTTTTGGGAACGCCTTATTTAAATCCTTATAGTCTACGCACATGCGAAATTTATTCTTCTTCTTTGGAACTACTACTACGTTAGCTAGCTAGTCAGGATACTTTACCTCTCGGATTGAAGCGATATCAAGCAAGCGAGTTACCTCTTCTTTGACAAATTTATTTCTGACCTCGGCAATAGGACATTTTTTCTGTCTTACTGGAGGGATGCTGGGATCCATATTTAGCTTATGTACAACCACTTCTTGCGGGATACATGCCATATCGGCATGCGACCACGCAAAACAATTGACATTAAATTTAAGAAATTTAATAAATTCAGACCTGAGTTCGGGGTGCAGTCCCGTTCCCAAGTGGAACTTCCTCTCCACGAACTTTGCGAACAATGCGACTTGTCCGAGTTCTTCTGCTGTGGACTTTGTTGCGTCCATCTCTTCTGGTACCTGGAAATACCTTGGCACGATTTTGATGACTCTTTCCCCTTATTGACTTCGCTCAGCTTGGGAGCAGGCGCTGGTTCCTGTAATTGCTATGTCACATGCTCTTTTCCTTTTCTATTGGAAACTAAGATTTCATTCATTTCTCTTACCGCAGGTTGGTCGCCTCTTACTTGTTTAATCCCCTCGGGAGTTGGGAACTTCAGCAAGTGATTATATGTAGATGGCATAACTTTCATCTCGTGCAACCATGGTCTCCCCAGGATGATGTTTTAACCCATATCTCCATCCACCACCTCGAAAAAGGGTCATCTTCATCACCCCTTCAACATTCGTGGGAAACACGATCTCTCCTTGGGTTGTCATGCTTGCTAGGTTGAACCCGGTGAGGAGTTTTATGGCCGGGATGATGCTTTCGGTGAGCTTAGCTTGCTCCAACACCCTCCATTGTATGATGTTGGTCGAACTTCCTAGGTCCACCAAAACACGTTTAATTTTAAAATCTAAGACATTTAAAGAATTACCAATGCATCGTTGTGCAGTAGCAGCAGTCCATCTGCGTCTTCCTTCGTGAAAGTAATATCGTCTTCAACGACTTCCTGTAGTCTCTTGCTGTGGGTCACTGACACCTTCGTCTTTTTTGCCGCCAAGAATGTAACCCCATTAATCTCATTCGCCCCGAAAATCATGTTGATCGTTAGGCACGAGGAATCTTCTCCTACTTTTGAAGGTTCTGCATTACCATGATTGCTACCGTAGTTGTTTTTAGCCATGTCACTTAAAAATTCCCTGAGATGACCGTTTTTCAGCAATGTCGCCACCTCTTCACGCATTTGTTGACAGTCCCTAGTCCGGTGACCATTTGTCCTGTGGTATTCACACCACAAATTAGGATCCCTTTCGCTGGGATCAAATCTCATTGGCTTCGGGAACCATGCTTCTTTAATGCTCTTCATAGCTGACACCAACTCCACTACACTGACGTTGAAGTTGTATTCGAAAAGCCTTGGGTAAGAAAAATCTGACATTTCCTTGTTCTGCAACGACCTATTATCTCGGTCGCGACCAGTTCTCCTAAGTAGCGAATCTATCCGCTGATCGAAAACCTCTACCGCGTCCTTCGGCCCGTTTATAGTGCAAAAACCGACCTCTTGAAGACCGTCGATCTGTGTCAAAATCTTCTTTCGATTTCTCTTTATTCTTCTCCCGGTCCCGACCCTTGGACGACCGGAAAACTGAGCTGATCATATTTAATTCATATCTTAAACGCATACCGGTTGTGAACATCCGCCCAAGTTGTCGCCTGGAACTAGAGCAAACTTTCTTTTAACTTTCGGGAAGCGTTGGAACTTCTCAGGTTCAGGCCTTTTGGTAAATTCTTCACCCGCCCGTTCGTCCAGTACGGCCAGTAGCAACATCCTTTCCTACTGGAAACTGGTCATAAATTTCTGCAGCAACTCGGACTCTCCTTGTTCAATCCTGAATAGGTCGGCCTTTCGGGCCGTACCTTCTGGCCCGGGCATGGGCCTTGAAGAAAGAGTCCGCGAGCATTTCGAAGGAGTCTATGGAGTGCTCGGGCAAGAGCGAATATCATGTCAGGGCTCCCTTCGTAAGAGTCTTCCCGAATTTCTTCAGTAAGACTGACTCAATCTCGTGGGGGTGGTGATATGCTCCTGAGGATCTGAAGTGCCATCATAGTTCGGCACGTTTGGCATTTTAAATTGCTTCAGGATCAATTATGGTGTCGTGCTTGGTTTGTACGATAATTATGTGTACTTCTTTGAGTCCGACCCTTTCAGCACTGGTAGTGCACCCAGAATTTGATCTATTCGAGCGTTTATTTCCCTCATAAACTGCACTAGTTCGGTTCTAAAGAGATCATATTCATTGTTGCTGCCGGAACCGTCACCGTTTCCCCCGGCCCTGTCAAAGCTGACTTCGCCCCTTGGGGTGTTGTTATCGACCCTCTGCGTTGTCTGATTCACGAGAGCACTGGAGGAGCTGCACCTTGTCCATTCGCGTTATTGGTAGCACCCGACAACTCATGTTTCTGCTCCATCATGACCTTATCCTGTTGTGTGAGATGGCCTATAATGCCTCCTGTTGCTCCTAAAAGATCCTTACTGCTTCGACAATGTGCTCTTCTTCAGCATCATCAGGAGTCGCCTCCCGAACATATCGTGGATATCGGCCTTCGTGGACTGCGTGGCCTCGTTTCCCTTGTTGCGGGTATCGCTGATTGAATCTTCGTGTTGAGGCTGATTTCCTTGGGTCTCAGCATTGTGTGTGTTTGTTAACACCATTATCTGCCATTTTTAATGATCTTTGCTGAGGACAAAGAATCAAACAAGTTAGTAACAAATGGAGGGATCAATTCAATTACACAACTGTCTATGCCCCACGGTGGGCGCTAAACTGTTTATCCGTAAAACGGTACAGTTGAATTTATACGTGGTTTATAGACAAGTGAACTAATTTGATACTAAAATAATAGATGAATTAGACAAAAATATACGACTTAGCCTCAAGATTGAAATGAAACGACAGATATCTTGATTCCGGGCACAGAGCTGCCGGAGGTAGTAAGAACAATGTAAATAAGCAAGAAAAGTAAAATGCTATTGAGCTTTTGACAGAGTATAATGTATTCTTCTACGAAAATTCGTCCCCTTACAATGATGGTGGAACTCACTATTTATAGCTACACCTAGGGAACAAGGTCATAGGATCAAGCCCCTCTTAAATGAGAATTATGAGGGCCGTTGAAGAATGTGTAATGGTGGGCAGTGAATGTCATATTCTTCGTAACGGATTATGCACTTAAGCTGTAGAATATTCTTCATTGAATGCTACCGGATGACAGACATTTATTTGGCGTTTATGAATATCATTATTTTCCGATGACAAATGATATCATTGCCTTCGGGTTCGACTGTCTTCTGTATTCGACTCCACGTGTCGCTTTCTCTTGCGATCATAAAATCTGAACATATTTTACCTCATACACAAGTATTATAATTAAGCATGTGCATGAAAACTATGTTCCGATTATTTTGATTTGTATAGTGGTTTATACTAAGAACCCATGTTATAAAGTGTGAAAGTGAGATAACTTAAAACGGAAGTCCTGTTTCCACGCAATATCAAAGAGAAGCCTTAATGAAAAAGCAGATTCTAGATATTGAAGGAGTGGAACCTAAACTTTAGACCTCATACCCAACTGCTTGTGACGTGTGATTTGCAGTGCCTATTTCTGGTATAGTATATGGTAAAAGCTCATCGCAGAAATAAAGGTTTTTAGTTAGTTAAGAAACTTGAAAAGTAAGGGATGTGAGTTTTAACAATTAAGTGTGATTGGTGGGCTGATAGCTACTAGCTCTACTGTTAGGTATCACAAAATAACAAAATATCTTACAAGACGACTTTATAATCATGACTCTAGTCTAGCGATTCAGAATGTGCGTGATCTTATTAAATATAAACTTTTTCTTTTAATTGCATAAGATATAGTTCGAGTTGAAAATAACGAGGTCGGTCGAGTTGAGGCTCTCTTGCTGGTCACTTGAGATCAACACAATATGGATATGAGTAGTGTGAGTTTAGTTCAACTCTGATGTGACAAGTGAACCGTACGTAGAAGAGACGAATCTTATCTAGCTATACCATAGTGATATATATATAGTAGAAAGAAGAAACAAAGTTAAGTAAGTTAAAGATAAGTAGGTTTTAAGTGAAGGAAACATGGACAAGAAAAGTGTATATAATACAGGTGTATATACACATGGTTTTGGCAGTTACCAGCCCATCTTTCCTATCCATTTATTCTTTGTCATTTAATGAAACAGAACACTGACGGGGCTCCTATCTTATTTTTCAGTTTTTTTTTTAAATAATAATTTCAGTAGAGTAATCAAGAAAAAACACACAGAGAGTATAGAAGAACCTAATCCACAGACTTTTGGTTGTGGTGCTGGTGATGCCTAACCCCTAACCATGCCATAAAGCAATCCAATACTTCCACCCCCAGCCCCACACTCCATGCTCCTTGCCTTTGCCTACCGGTATCGCCTGATCCGATTAATTTGAATTTACATTAAATAAGACCAATATATAAATGAATATACTGATGCGATTAATTTGAATTTGCGTTGAATAAGACCAATAAATAAATGAATGTACTGATCTGATTAATCTGAATTCACGTAAAGAAGTAAATTTTGTCCATGTGTTACACATATAGCTTTTGCCACTCAAGAAACAAATTTTAAAGAGCGGTGGGAAAAATACTTATAACAAAAGGGAAAAAAGATACCTCACCACACTCCCTTTTCGTGAATGGAGGGCAACCATGAACACTAGCCACTTACTCACTCAAAGGATTGAACTTCAAATAAATTAAAGTAGACTACGGCCACTTATATTGGTGAACAAATACAAGTTCACTTTAAATAAGATTTTTCAAAAGAATTTAATGTATATTTATGAATAAAATTAATAACAACAATTCTAATTTATTATCACAAATTTGTGACAAATTAATTCACATTAATTGATCAATAAGTGTAAAAAAAACTGATAAACTAAAAAAAGGAAAAAAAAAATAATCTCTCCTCTTTTAATTATTAGTAATGACAACCCACCAAAGGGGCAGCGGAGAAGACAAGACTTTGTTCAAATTTTGTTTCACGGCGATCATCTTCTGGTGGCGCCGGCAAATTAAGATCAAGAGACAGAAAATTTCTTGTAGATTTCTCCTCCTCCTTATAATTATTAGTAGCAACATCATCATGTGATGATTCTGAAAAATTGTTAATTGTCTCAATATGAGTATTTGTAGAAACCTTAGTACTGTTTGTAGCAGTTGTTGTAGTAGGTGGTTTATGTTTTCTCATATGACCACCTAAAGCTTGCCCTGATGAAAACTCCGACCCACAAATTGAACACTCGTGGATTTTTGGCTTGCTGTAGCTGTTACCATGAGAGTTGATACCTTTGTTGTTGTTGACTATTTGGATTGAAAGAGATGCACTAATTTTATTGAGCCGTCCTTCTTCTTGATCATTTTTTACATGATTATCGTCATGATTTTCCACTAGCGAGTCAGCACCAGCGCTAGCAGTAGCCATGGCAGTGCTAGCAGAAGCCATGGCAGTGGCAGTGGCAGTGGCAGTGATAGTGACAGATTTTTTCTCTTCTACTATGGTTTTGGGCCTTCTATGACTAGCTCTGTGCCCACCAAGTGCTTGAAATGAAGGGAAAGTTCTGTTGCAAGTTTTACACTCGTAGACAAAAAAACCAGCTTTTCCAGTTGTAGTATTGACCATTTCTGTGAATTTCCTGCTGCTGATTTTCTCCTTTTTAACTTCAGTTACAACTTGTACTTTTCGTCCGCTTTGTGCTAACAGAATTAAGCAATTGGCCATGTCTTCATCTTCTTCGGACGTGCTACTAGTTGATATTTGAGTAGTAGAAGTGGTTGGTGAATACTGAATTATTGCTGAAGAGTAATAAACATCACCTCCACCACCACCATCATCGCTCCCGCCAGCGACCGATGAGCTACTTGTGACCATCGTCCCCGCTATGTCAAACGGGGACGAGGGTCTTGATCGCTTGCTACGCTTTCCTTTGAAAGCGTACGAGCGATCGGGAAAATCTTGAGAAACTTCCATGAATACAAAACCAAGAAAAGAAGCCAAGCAAGTGACAAAGTGAAGAAGAAGAAGAAGAAGAGTAGTGATGAAAGAATGTAGAGAGTGATGTTATTAGCTAGTGGCTTTTGTTATACTTATATATACTAGTAGTATCTTTTTAGTGAATGGTAAGAAGATGTTTGGAGAGTCAAAATTATACTCCACCCAACTGTTAACTAAGTGAATGAACATTTTTTTTTATTTTTACGTTCGTATTATTGTTTTACTAAGAAAAGTGTCTTTAAGTAAACATTAGAAGTCTACTTTGTCACTTTGCACTCCCTTTAACTACACTTAACCTAGCTTTGTATAACAACTAATTAACTTTGGGTTCGTCTCCTCCTAATTTTCCTACCCTTTTAGTTACTTTACTTGATTTTACGGTAAATTCATTGCGTTATTTAGTTGATTGTTGTGTCGTGTAAAATTAAGATGCATAAGTATGGTCATAAATTTCATATTAAGCATTAAATTGTTTGGTGGTAATTTTACTAGCACAATGAGCTGTTCCAAATGCGATGTATAGAGTCAAATTGTCACCTTTTTTATTTATTAAGGGGTAATGTATATAGCAATTTGGACTTTCATTTTAAAAGTTCTTTATGAGTATATTGGAAAATTAATACTGTACTAATTATTTGGCATGTTTTGACTAATACTAGTAAGGTGAAATGAACGAGTTGTAGAAGGACTAAAGGGAGTGTTATAACTGAAAAACAAAATAAAGGAGAAATTAAGTATATAAACAAAACAAAGTAAATTAATTATTAAAGATAGAAGTCTAGTTGGTGACTTGGTGGTAACGTTTGAAGTTGGTTTCACACTCTCTTTTCTTTAAATTTGTTTGGTTTGTTATTGTTAAATTTTAATTAGGTTTAAGTAATTTGCCAGCAAAAGTCACGAATAAACACTCAAGCAATAAAGCAAAGGGGGATTGCACGTCAAAGGCATGCTCCACCTCACTCACTCCATCACTTCTTAGACTCAAAGGAAAGAACTATTATTATTATTATTATTATTATTATTATTATTATTATTATTATTATTATTATTTCTGGTACTATTATTACTATTTTAATGAGGATTTAAGTTATACGTTTTAATTTAACCGATTGCAACAAGTTATTCTTATATTTTCAGATTGTCACATCAAGTTTTGTTATGAAAATTTATTTATTTATTGTTATGTGAACTTAACCTGATGTTATAAAAAATTTATATACTAATAATGTATAGAATTTAAACTCTTTCAATAATATAAAGAACAAGAGATGGAAGTATGAGCAAGTAAGGCAAACCACCAAGATTCGGTTGGCTTTCAAGCAAACTCTTTGCCTTTTTCTATCTCACAAAATTGAATTCTCCTTCTCTGAACACACACACACCCCCCCCCCCCCCCCATATAATTCACAAACAAACCGAAATAGTGGTCCTCCACTATAAGGCCACCCAAGCTTGACAAATTCAAGCATAATTATTGAAAATATTCGAGAGTTTAATTAGTTAGTTAATGGTAACTTTTAATTTTCGTGGTTGCCTTTGATTCTCCAATAGTAACTTTTTTGTAATGAAATCAATTATAATGAAACTGAAACTATATATTAAAGAGAAAATGTTAGAGTAGGGAATATATTCAGCTTGTATTTTGCACAAGAAATTTCATTTCAAGAAAATTAACTTTCTCTATGTTTTTAAAATTTAAACTCTTATACACCTTGATTTAATATTCTTTTACACGTTAACTTATTTTATTTAAGGTTACTAATAAGTTAAAGACAAATTCAGTTTTTATCGAACAATTTTCCATTTTAATTACGTTACAACATTATATAGCGATAGATAAATTTAATCTTTTGTATTTCTCCTATATATTGGGCTAAAAAGTTTACTTAATACTCGCGTCTTTAAGAGCTTTGACAGTCTTACACCTTTAGAGCGTGCTCTCTCTCTCACACACATACGTACACAACGATATTCTAAAGTAAGAACAAGGAGAGTAATCACAGAGCTTTGTAATGAGATGAATATGATTTTGCCATTCTTAATGGGAGATCAGGGATTCCAGGCTTCGGAATGAAAAAAATGTTGATATACACTTCCGTTTTAAATAACTACTCTTACGTGCTTGTATATTTTGCACAAGAAATTTCATTTCAAGAAAATTAACTCTCTATATGTTTTTAAATTTTAAATCTTATACACCTCGATTTAATATTTTTTTACACGTAAACTTATTAGTAACCTTAAATAAGATAAGTGATCTTATATAATAACTTTTTAAATTGTACCGTTTATTAAAAGATTCATTTATTTGTCAGCAGTTAAGACAAATTCAGTTTTTATTGAACTTTTTTCCATTTTAATTACTTTCACAACATTATATAGCGAAAGATAAATTTGATCTTTTGTATTTCTTCTATATATTGGGCGAAAAAGTTTACTTAATACTCGTGTCTTTAAGAGCTTTGATAGTCTTACACCTTTAGAGCGTACTCTCTCTCACACGCACATACATACACAACGATATTCAAAAGTAAGAATAAGGAGAGTAATCACAGAGCTTTGTAATGAGAAGAATATGATTTTGCCATTCTTAATCGGAGGTCAGGGATTCCGAACTTCGAAATGAAAAAAATGCTGATAAACGCTTTCGCTTTTAATAACTACTCTTACCTGCTTGTATATTTTGCGCAAGAAATTTCATTTCAAGAAAATTAACTCTCTATATGTTCTTAAAGTTTAAACTCTTATACACCTCGATTTAATATTTTTTTACACGTTAAACTTATTAGTAACCTTAAATAAGATAAGTGATCTTATATAGTAACTTTTTAAATTGCACCGGTTATTAAAAGATTTATTTATTTGTCAGCAGTTAAGACAAATTCAGCTTTTATTGAACTTTTTTCCATTTAATTACTTTCACAACATTATATAGCGATAGATAAATTTGATCTTTTATATTTCTCCTATATATTGAGCAAAAAAGTTTACTTAATACTCGTGTCTTTAAGAGCTTTAACAGTCTTACATCTTTAGAGCGTGCTCTCTCTCTCACACGCACATGCATACACAACGATATTCAAAAGTAAGAATAAGGAGAGTAATCACAGAGCTTTGTAATGAGATGAATATGATTTTGTCATTTCTAATAGGAGGTCAGGAATTCCATCCTTCGAAATGAAAAAAATGCTGATAAACGCTTCCTCTTTTAACAACTACTCTTACGTGGCGTGGATTCAGATCAGATTAATTAGTCAATGCTCCAATACCAATACTAAATAAAACCAAAAAAAAGAATAAGGAGTATGGACACTATGTGGTGGCCATGTCGAGGAGGATTATATTTATTATAGTGTTAAGTGTTATGAGTGAGAGAACTGTAGATCAGAGAGCTACCTATCATATTCAATATTCATAAATCATACATATACATATTTGTGGTTCAAATTTTGGACTTGTGACTATATGGATTAACGGGTGATCTCACGCATCTCTAATGGCATGTCTGCCTCCTCTTCTTTGATCTCCGTTTGGTACAATGCTTAATTTAGTTTTTATTAGTTCACAGTACTTAAAGTCCTTTTATTCACCACTAATTAGCCTTTTAATCTTTTAACAATTTACTATTCTCTAGAACTTTTCTTTTCCTTTTTAGGTGCTCTTTACTTGTTTTATTATCCCGAACCCTACCCATAGGCGGATTTAGGACCTTTTTGAGGTGTACGTGAACGCTGATCTTTTCACCAAACTAGGTATTATATATATATATATATATATATATATATATATATATATATATATATATATATATATATATATATATATATATA